CTACTTCCTTTTCCACTACTACTACTACTACTACGACTACGACTACTACTACTACTGCTACTACTACTACTACTACTACTACTACTACTAGTATTATTAGTATTGCGTTTGCTATTACTACGACTACCACTGACACCACTATTCGTATTACTTTACTGCTACTACTACCAGTACTACTACTACTGCTGCTACTACTACTACTACTACTACTACTACAACAACTACTACGACTACTGCTACTACTACTACTAGTACCAATACTACTACGACCACCACCACCACCACTACTACCACTACTACTACTACTACTACTACTACTACTACTACTACTACTACTACTACTACTACTAGTACTACTACTACTACTACTACTACTACTACTACTACTACTACTACTGCTACTGCTACTGCGACTGCTACTGCTACTGCTACTGCTACTGCTACTGCTACTACCACTGCTTCTACTGCTATTGCTGTTGCTTCTACTACTACTACGATTATTGCTGCTGCTACTGTTACTGCTAGTGTTTGCGCACTGCCGCCTGACTCCAAACTCTGCGGTGCTCGTGCGCGCTCTGCTCACAGGCGTTGCAGTGTCCACAAGCGCTGTGATGTTTTCCAGCTGTGTAGTGTGCACAGGCGATGTGGTATTCACAGGTGCTGTGGTTGGTGTTCGCAGGCGCTGTGTTCGCGGGCGCATTGATGTTCGCGGGCGCTGCGGTGTTCACGGACGCTGCGCTCTTCAAAAGCATCGTGGTGTTCACAGGTGCGCCGCGCGACGCGACCCCCCCTCTCCCCGGCCGCGCGCGCGACCGGCCCGAATAAACAAGCGGGCTCTTGATCGGCGGCGTGGGATATGCCTGACATGGGGCGCTGAATGATGGTCGTTCCGACGGGTGCTTCGCGAGGTGCGGGCGAAGCCGCGAGGTTAGGAATCGGCGCGGCATTCGGGCGGGGACTCTGTTTTCTCACTCGCGCCTGGGTCGTTCAGCCCGCGCCGCAGGAGGAGCGGGGGGCGGCGGAGCCCGCGGCGCCGCCAGTGAGGCGGCCGCTCCCCGCGCAGGGCGTGGCGGGGCCAGCGCCGAGGTGCCGCCGTCGCAGTTCGCTTGCTGGCCAAGCGGTGCCCGCGCCGGTGAAGCCTCCTCCCGCTCGCCCTGCTGGCGCTCACCCCAACTTCGCGTTCGTTTCTTGGTCGGAGAACGACGCCGCGTTTGCGCGCATGGTTCGGTCGGGGAACTTGTCCTTGCCGGGCGTGGCCCTGGAACCTCGTGCCTGCTGGCCGGCCGGAGAGGGCGCCGACCCTTTCGCGGGTCAGGTGATTTCGTGGGAGGAGCGGCGCTCGGGCATGATGGGCGGTCCCGCCGCGACGGCAGCCGCGCTGGCAGCGCGAGGGCCGAGCCTCGGGCGAGTGGCCCACCCCTCCTTCCTTCTCCGCCACTTCTTGGGTGGGGCGATTTCTGAGAAGAGGCGTCCTGGTGCAGTTTTGACGGCCGCTACCAGTTGCGTCGGTATGATTCGTTTCGCGACAGGTTCCCATCCGATTTTTTGCGCGAAGGCGCATCAAAGAATATGTGTTTGTTTTTTACTATAGCGAGACATTTTTTGTAAAGCGTTGTAGTCCAATTCATCCTGTGAGAGTTTACGATCGAATCTCTTCTGTATGAGTTTTTTTTTTTTTTTTTTTTTTTTTTTTTTTTTTTTTTTTTTTTTTTTTTTTTTTTTTTTTTTTTTTTTTTTTTTTGTTTGTTCATTTGTTTTTGGGTATATATATATATATATATATGATTACTTTTTTTTTTGAATACGAGGACTCGCATTGTGAGAATTTATATTCGGATACCTTTTGCGGAGGAGTGCGCGTGGATTTGTTTTGTGGCGGATTAGATGTGGATTTCTTTGTGGCTGGTTACACGGCGGCCCCTTTTGTGGCGGATTTCAAATTGATTCCTTTGTGGCGGATATGAATGCGTTTCTTTTGTGGCCGATTTCAAATGGATCCCGTGTGAGTCGAATAGCAAATTGACTCCCTGCGTGCTGGATTCCAAATTAATTCCTTCGTGGCGGGTCACGCGTGGATTTTTTGGGTGGCGGATTGCAAGCGAATTCCTTTTGCGTCGGAATGTAATGTGTGTCGTCTTGTGGCGGATTGCACATGAATTTCTTTTGTGGCGGATTGCACATGAAATCTTGTTGTGGCGGATTGCCAATTGATTTCATTGTGGCGGATTACAAATTTCTGTGTGGCGCTTCATACATGAGTTCCTTTTGTGGCGGGTTACAACTTGTTTTCTTGTGTTGCGGATTGCGCATTAGTTTCTTTGGTGGCGGAGTACATATTGATTCCTTGTGGTGGAATTATTGGTAGGGAGCCCTTTCCGGTTTTCGGGAAGGGAGGGGGGGGGTGAACCTTCCCGGTCTGGGTTTCCGGGAAGGGGGAGGGGGGGGGTCTTCGAACCAGTAGTGAACCCCCCTCGGTTTTCCGGGGGCGTGGGGGGTGGGGGGTGGGGGCGCTTTGCCGGGAAAGGGGGGCTCCAGCAGGGGAGGGGGCCGAATTTTCGGACGGCGGGGGGCGATTTCCGGAAGAGGAAGGGGGCATTTTCCACAGCAGGCCGGCGGTGGATCACGCTGTGTCATCTATGTGCGTATATACATATACACACACATCTGTATGTATATGTATGTGTGTGCGTGTGCATGAATGCATGTATGTACGTATGCGTGTACGTATGTATGCATGAATGTTTGTATATATATATATATATACACATGTGGACTATGTGTGTATGCGTGTGCGTATGCATGTGCGTATGCATTCAATGTATGCGTCTATCTATGTACGTATGCCGGTTTGTGTATATATATATATATATATATATGCATGTATGTATGCATACGCGTGTACGCCAGTTTGTGTATATCCAGGTCTGTATATGTGCATGTATTGTAATGGCCACGTGCCAGTGCCGCCGATCCGGGGCGCTTCTGATGCTATTGTTGGTGAGATGGACGATGACGACGACAACGGACGACCAACTGTCGACGGGCGGGACAATTATCACGACGACCGACGAAGGAGTTAATGACGACGAACCGACGACGACGACGACGACGACGACGACGACGACGACGACGACGACGACGACGACGACGACGATCGACGGCGAACGGCTGCCGACGGCCGACGACCGACCACTGGCGACGGCGACGGGTGGAAGGTTTTTCGTACATCGTTTTCGCTTCCGAGCAATGCTAAGTCAGGTCGTGCACCTCTGGCCTGGCAGCAAGCGAGTGAGCGCCTCCTGGGGCCTCTTGGTTCTTGGGGCTTCTTGGGGGCCTCTTTGGGGCCTCTTGGGGGCCTCTCGGGGTCCTCTTGGGGGCCTCTTGGGGACCTCTTGGGGGCCTCTGGGGGCCCCTTGGGGGCGCCTCGGGGGCATCTTGGGGGCTGTTGGGGTCATCTTGGGGTGGAGGACTAGAAGGGTCCGTTCGGGGTCACCCTCTTGAGGCCATCTTGGGGGCCTCTCGGGGTCGTCTTGGGGGGCCTCCAGGGCTATAGTGGGGCCCTCTTGGACCGTCTTGGCTTCTCTTGGGGGCCTCTTGGGCTGTCTTGGGGCGATCTTGGGGGCCTGTTGGACCGTCTTCGGCGCTTCGAAAACGGAAAAAACGATAATGTTAAAATGATTCAAAACCTCTTAGAAACTTTATTATTGTACCCTCTTGGGGCCCTCTTGGGGGTCCTTTTGGGATCTCCTTGTGAGGCGTCTTGGAGGCCTCTTGGGCTGTCTTCAGGCCATCTTGGGCGTCCAGGAGCGCTCTTGGGCCGTTTCGGGCGCCTCTCGGACCGTCTTGGTGGCCCCCTGGGCCCCTTTAGGCCCGTCTTGGGGCGGCTTGGGATTCCCAGGGGGGGGGGAAGAAAGGGTGGACCCAATGAACCCCCCCCTTCCCCCCCCCTACCCCGGCCGAGCCCCCCCGGACCCCCCCAGCAGAGCCGAAGCTCAGGTTGTACCTTCTTTAAACTCACACGCCGGACCGGCGGATTTTTGCATGTACGTGTGTATGCATGTATGTGCAATTCTGCGCATATCTGTACATCTGCATGTATGTTTTTGGTATGTATATTTGCATGGATGGATGCAGGCATGCATGTTCGCCCGTCTACATGTATGTATGCATGCATATATGTGTACGTATGTATGTGTGTACGT